ACATCCATTTTGACCTTTTCCTTCTTTCTTGTCTTCTTAATGACATTTTGCTTTCTTCATTTTTGATGTTCTTCATGTCATCTCACAACTCTTCTGGTCTTCAGTCTTTAGTGTTTAATGTATCAAATCTGTTCTTCAGATGATCTCTAAATTCAGGTGGGATATATTCAAGGTCATGTTTTGGCTTTTGTGGACTTATTTTCATTTTCTTCAGCTTCAGTTTGAATTTGCATAAGAGTAATTGATAGTCTGTTCCACAGTCTGCCCCTGGCCTTATTTTCACTGATGACATGGAGCTTTTCCATCATCTCTTTCTACAGATGTAGTCAATTTGATTTCTATGTGTTCCATCTGGCGAGGTCCATGTGTATAGTAGTCTCTTATGCTGTCTAAAGAAGGTATTTGAAATGAACAAGTCATTGATTTTGCAGAGTTCTATCATGCCTTCTCCGGCATCATTTCTATCACCAACGCCTTATTTACCAACTGCTGATCCTTACTTTTTGCTCCCAACCTTTGCATTCCAATCACCATTAACGATCAGTACATCTTGATTGCATGTTTGATCAATTTCAGATTGAAGAAGTTGGTAGAATTCTTCTATTTCTTCCTCACTGGCTTTAGTGGTTGGTGCGTATACTTAAATATTAGTGTTATTAACCGGTCTTCCCTGTAGGCGCATGGATATTATCCTATCACAGACAGCACTGTACCTCATGACTGATCTGGATATTTTCTTTTTGACAATGAATGCAACACCATTCCTCTTCAGTTTGTCATTTCTGGCATAGTGAACCATGTGGTAATCAGATTCAAAATGGCCAATACCAGTCCATTTCAGCTCACTAATGCGTAAGATATCAATGTTTATGCATTCCATTTCATTTTTGACAACTTCCAATTTTCCCAGATTCATACTTCGTACATTCCATGATCCAATTTTCGGTGGATGTTTACAGCTGTTTCTCTTTATTTTGAGTTTTGCCCCATCATCAAATGAAGTTCCCGTGCTCATTTCTCCCACGAGCTTTACTCCATTTGCGTCATCATGGTCAACTCTACCTTGAGGAGGCAACTCTTCCCCAGTCGCATTTTGAGTGACTTCCAACCTAAGGGGCTTATTTTCCAGCACTATATCTGACAGTGTTTCTCTGTTATTCATAAGGTTTTCAGTGACTAAAAATTCAGAAGTTGTCCGTCACTCCTTCTTCCTAGTCTGTCTTTGGCTGGAAGCTCATCTGAAACCTGTCCACCATGGGTGACCCTGGTGGTATTTAAAATAC